CCACATCCCCCCCCCGCCATAGTCAGCATGGCCACGTCGAATGTTGGTGTAACTTACCTGACAAACAACAAGCCTGGCATAATTACGCCGTATTCTCGCGTGGTTATGCCTGTCCAGCTTCATAGCTTGCTTTGTATTTTACCTCCATGAAGCGTGTTTGACCCATGTAACCTGCAAAATACTGCAAATAGTAATCCACAAGCATAAAATCATAATAAACAGGGAAGAAAACACAATAGTTTTAGTGGTAAAATAACATAAATTTAGCATATGTCAAGGTGGCAGATACAAAAAAAAGAGGAATGAGGAGGGCTTGAGAGACGAGGCAAAGAAGATCAAGAACGATGCTTGAAGGAATGATGATGTCCTAGGCTTCGGCATCTGTTGGGAAAGCTGCGAGAAAGAATATGAAAGTTTTTCTTGGAAGTCCCGATCGAGAAAGCAACAAGGTGAAGTCGAGAGAAAGGAAAGAAATCTGTGCTCGAATTAGGAATGTGGCAAGGCCCAATTGCGTGATTCACTCGATTGAAAAAGGAAATTGGTGGTGCGGATTGGTAGGGGGATAAAAGGTAAATTTCAGATTTTACAGATAACATGTGCCCCCCTTCAGAACAATATTAGAGAAAGTCACAACTATATTTTGAATGCCCTGAATATATGACTATTTTCAGATCCACGGCCCCAAATGGATTTATTTTTTAAATGGCAAGTTGCAAAATCATGCTCACATTTTTTAGATTGTCTTGCTATTCAATGTGCTGCTTATTATATTTGTTGGAGAGATTTAATATCTTTTTCAATATTCATTGATCCCCAATTAATAAATTCTATGATGATAATATTATGGTCATTAAGCTAAAAGTAAGAAGTGGCATTTTAATAATCCAATGCTGCACATATTCTTATCTTATTGTGCTTTCATGGAGTACATTGCTAGTAAGAATTGCCTTATGCTTTACTCAGGAATTTTTTGTTTTTTATTTGTGCTCTTCGGCATATTGGGTGATTCCGGCCCTAGACTGAGGATTGATGCCCAAATATTTGCTAAGGGCAATGAGAATTATTTACCATAGGCTCAATACAACCATTCACAACTACTATTTACAGATACTATAATTATCTAATTAGTTTGTGAGGGAACCAATGCTTTTTTTTCCATTTGATATTCTTCTGAGCATATGTCCTAATCCTGATATTTCTAACAATTTTCAGGATTCAAATTATGTGGCCGTTAATAGTTAGTCTTTTAGTTTTTACTGATTTTCATTGCCACATGTTCTCTAGATGCAAATTTAACTGGGGCTCATTCTTCCTTCTTGATGGCTTTGGCTGAGGGAAGACTGTTTATACTAAGTGTATAATATGGTGTGTAGAGGTCTTTCTTTTTCGGTGATAATTCATTGGCTGGATGGATCACAGGCATAGAGTGTCAATTTTATTTAATTATTTGTTTTTTTTTTTTGCTGAAGTGTGAATCTTACTCTAGTCCTTGTATGTTTTTGCGTCCAATTGTAACTATGATTCCATATACATGCTGATTTTGTGGTTCCTTTATGTGGGCAGATAGATACCTTGGTTATTTTGCCCATTTTGAGTTATGAAGACCCTATTTATTTGGATTTATTACAGTCCCTATACGTGGATAGATACCTTGGGTACTAGCATTATATGGACTCTGAAGGGACCAATGCTTTGTTTATTTATTATTTTCCTGTGTCTATCTTTCTCTTTTTCTCTCAATACAGCAGCCCATTGTTTAACATTGAGATATTATCATTGCAAATTTTTTTCTTAGCTCATTTAAAGTTCGTAGTATGCACTTCTCCAGCTCTAATTTTTCTTTGCAAACAAGTATTTTCCTGGATTGCATTGCGCAAGATAATAGAAGAAATATTACGTGCGTATAATATGCGTGCAGATTGATGTTTTGCTTATACCACAATACCACCCATCCACAAAGCACCAAATCCGCATTATAATTTGTTAGATGCAATCTATTTTTTTCTGAAAAATCTTTCTAAATGTTTTGCTAGGCCTACGGATTTGTTTGTCTTCTTTCATCGGGACTTTTAGGCCTTGTTTACTTTGTTTTAGGTTCTGTTATTTCATTCTTAGTTTTTCACAAGTCCTATGTTATCCTTGTATTTTTGTGAGACTGTTATTGGCACTCCCCCTCCCCCTCCCCCTCCCCCTCCAAACCACAAAAGCAAGCACAAAAGAAGTACCCCATACATGTCCAGTTATAAATAAAAATTTGCACTAAATGCAACCTAAACATGTGTTGGTAATAAAATAAATCTTAATATTTCATAATTTTATATTTTAAAAGCACTGTGTAATACTTTCAAAAGCGTGTCAAACTAAATTTAAACAACTGAAGCACAAATACTTTCATTATTTATTAACTCGTGAGTGAAATGTATTATGTGCCAACATAGTAGAAAGTAACCTACACCCACACCCATTATTGGATTTGTAACTGGGCAAGAAATATAAATTTAGAAATGTAAGCCACCATTAAAAATGAAAAGCGGAGTTTCTAAATTTATCCGCTTTTAAATTCGATGCTTGTTTCGAGAGATTATTTTCTTATCTAATATGAATTGAATAAGACTTATATCATAATGGGATATGAGTTTCTTATACGCACAAAGCCGCAAATGCTTATGACTGTAAGGGTGCTTCTATTTCAGCTATGGCTGTAGAAAAGTTGGTTTTAAAAGCTCTTGTTCAAAATTTGTTGTTCAGAAGCTGGTGTTTCGGAAACAGTTGGTCTGTTTGAAAAACACAGTTCTGAAAGCGTTGTCAACAGTTATAATGATTGTAATGACCTCAGTATATAGACACATTTTAGTTTAAATTGTTTGAAAGACAGTCCTGAAAGTGCTATCAGTGGAATAAATCAAACGATAATTTACCAAGTTATTTTCATTCACAACAACATAAGGTATATTAAGGTGAATATTAACCGAATTATAAGAAATCATCAAATTATGTGTAAATTCATAATGACAAGATATTGTGATAGATAATATTTGAAATTCAAAATGAAAACCTAACGGTTAATAATTTGTGCTCCAAACTACATAAAAATTACCAAAACAGATACAGAGACAACAACAATAAAAACAATGCTACAATTGCAAATTCAAACAAAAGTATAGCCTTCAAAAGATACTTCAACTCTTTGGCATCATTTTTTATAGTATCATCAAATGCATAAATCTTTTCTTCAGATGCCTCCTCTATTGTATCCCTCGATTAATCAACCCATTGAAAAAATTTGTAATCTTTGTCCGTTAAATTTTTTGGACATCTGTAAGATTTTCTTCCTTCATTGTCACCTGTTTGACTTGTGAAAACAACACACAATAGATTGCAATCACAAAAAACCCGCTCATGTTTGATCTCCTTAGAGCTTGTTGAATTGTATGAGCTCATATTCGATACTGTAATCATGTACATAGAAACAACTCGATAATGTAATCCTGTACATAGAAACAACGAGGGAAATTTACACACCTATCACAAAATTCTTATGTATTAAATAGCCACCAAAATACAACCGGTCATTTCCGCTAAAATAGTGGTTCAGAGCAAAGAACACAATGTATTCCCTACTTGCAAGCAAATCCAGAATGATTAACTTCGTTGCAAAAGAATTGTGAGTTTTGTAGATAGATGAGAACTATGAGCTATGTATGTAAATATCCCCATCTTTTAATGTTGCATATCTGAATGACTGAAGCAAATCAACTGCATTAGTATTCTTTTGAAAGAACTTTCAGACTATTTCTTTGTAGTCCAATATAAATACATAAGCATATTTCATAAGAACTATGTGCTATCTATGTAAATTTCAAAATAGCAAGTTGTACTCCAATAGAAATACATAAGAACTGTGCTCTATCTATGTATCAAAATACGAGCATAGATAAATGTCTGCAATGCAATAACATCGATTACCAAACCATTCTTATGCATTCATATAAGAAATACATAAGAACTGTGCTCTATCTATGTATCGAAATACGAGCATAGATAGATGTCTGCAATGCAATTACATCGATTACCAAACCATTCTTATGCATTCATATATCTAACACCAGATGTTTGATATTGAATTCTAGAAGAAAGAGTGATCCAACTTTAAAACCATGAATACTCTAAGCTAGAAATACCACTTCAGAAATGTTCAGAACGAAAGGAGTTTATATTTACCAATATAACACACATAACACACAATTCCTATGTATTTAGCTAGATAACACTCTAGCATTGAAATTTATAGTCACATAACCTTCGCGTGTGTTAAATTTGTGTGGATATGCACGGGAATATCGATTGTCATTTCGTGTATACAGTAGGTCATTGCCGTATATATACAGTGATGTATCGTTCCAAATTATTGCCCTTGCAACACAAGTAGATATCTTAAATAGAACAGTCTAATAATAAAAACAGTGCCCAACGTTTCCAACTTATATGGTGGAATTCAGACATATTTAATGAAAGAAAAAGAAAAAGGCTCTCAATTTGCAATCACCCCCGCAACGTGGAATAAATTATAATTCACAATGCATAGTAGATTTCATTATAATTGCTTGTACATCTAACCATTTAATATTAATTAAATATTAATTAAAGCATCGGTGATATGCTCTCGTAACTGAACAATCTCATTAATTCAAGCACAGTGATCCATCGGTTGATACTTTCCTCTTCAGTATCCATTAGTGATTCGCCCAAGCATTATTCATATGCTTCAAAAGGCTAACGTATTTCTTAAAGAAGTTAAATAAGAGAGAAGAAGAATATAAGAGAAATGAAATAGAGGAGAAGAAAAATGTTGGAGAAGATAGTGGCGAGATGAGAAGGACGACACAACTTATTGGACGAGCGGAGAAGGCGATATGAGGGATCGCTAGGGCTCATAAGCTCGGGAGGAGGAAAAGGCGCAAAAAAGAAATCAGGAGTGCCCTCGGTGAGGAGGTAGGGCTCGATTCTGCTAGGGACATAAAATGTGATTGATATTAGCGAATGGTGAAACATAGAGTCCAACCTACGATCGTGGTTGCACAATAATCATTGATGATATTTACTACTGGCTAATGAAAAAGCACGAAAACAAACAAATTTAAACAAAATTCATATTAAAAGAAAATGTGATTGATATTAGCGAACGGTGAAACATAGAGTCCAACCTGCGATCGTGGTTGTACAATAATCAATGACGACATTTACTACTGGCTAATGAAAAGCATGAAAACAAACAAATTTAAACAAAATTCATATTAAAAACATGGTTTTAAATGTCCAGTCAAACGCACCCTAAATCTTTAAGAAAACATTTCCTTCTAAGAAAGCTCAATTAAGGTAATGAATAACATCTTTGTTTTTGAAGTAATTTTTCTAGGATTTTAATTTCATAATTTCTCAAACAAATTTAATCAACCTGCCAAAAGCTATATATAAAAAAGGAAAAGAAGTGTGTGTATATATATATATAGCCATTTTCTTAGGAGGCAAACTGTTCCTCGAGACCCAATGAATATTTCAAGCGAGAAACGACCAAATTATTCTCTCATATAAGAAAAAGATCTGAATTTTCCGCTGGGGGTGGGGGGGCATAAGTCTTTTGAGAATCCTCTTATAAGACTTTTGAGAATCCCCTTAAATCACTCGTTGATCAGAATATAGTAATTTAAAAATTCTCATCTTAAATGTTCTTCTTTTGCTTATCCTAAACGTGGTTTACTAGACTTTATATTTTTTTATATTTCGTTTTTTACAATTAATTTTCCTTAATTAACAAGTTGACTGCTACAATTTTTTCCCGTATGAATTCTGCAGGCTTTTTCCTTTTTTTTCCCCCTCTCGACTTCTAGTTTTATTCTATTATTTTTAAAATTTCATTTTCTCTGGTTTTTTTTTTTTTAATGCCTAGTTTTGTCCTTTCGATTTTCCCGACTGCTCTCTTTCGATTTTGTATCGCATTTTTTTATTTATTTTTCTGCCACGACAATTTTATTTCAATTTATTATGAAGTTTTGCCGTCCCTTTGTCATTACTTATTTTTTCTATTGAAAATCTTACTTTATTTGAGTTGATGGAAAATATGTCAACTGAGAAGAAGTGTTCTCTTAGAAAAAATATTACACCGGAACTCCACAGATAGAGATATGTGCGGAGCCCAATGTGATAGACCCAGTAACACAAGAGAATATTCTCTTCATTTTATTCAGGTGTTATTGTGTGTTATTCATGTATTATTGTGTGTTATTCACATATTATTGATGTGTTATTATGTTATTATAATACCAGAAATATTCTCAGAATAAAATAACACATGAATAACACACAATAACACTTGAATAACACGAGGGAAATATTCCCTTCTATTACCGGACCGATCACCTCAACGACATAATTTCATTGAACTCCACACCTAGCTCTACGTGACGAGTCCTGCTGTAATATTTTTTCGATCTCTTGATATGATTAACAAAGATTTTACCGCCAGTAATTCCCTTTTCAAAGCTGAAAAAAATGCTATAACAAATATATTTTTAATTTTATTACACCACATTAGCACATATATAATATGTTTTAAGTTTATATTAATCATAAACCATTCACATCATTAATGCATACAAATTCCTAAAATTCAATAATTTTTAAAATTTATATTGTAGCTGCGTCGTATTGTTCTTAATATAATATCTAACCTGGTTTTTTTTTTTTTTTAATTAAAGCTGAATTTGATTGCTCGTAAAAA